TGGGACTGACCGCCCATTATTTTTAACATTACAAAACACCATTGGCAATTATACTACACACATATACTAGACATAGCTTTAGTTACAGAGGAAATTATCATTCTTTACAGTTTAGTTGATGCACCCATATCCAACATATCCAACTCTGCCATTTAGCCAATGTACCTTTAAACGTGTGAGCGGCACAAAACCATTATTAACCACAATCATTTGAAATACTGGTATTTATCTCGATCACGTGTCTCAGAGCATAGAGGAAGGACACGGAAGGAGTTGCAACTCTAGCACTTGAAAGTGTTCACTGATTGTCGCCGCCGAGTCAGACGAATAAGAGAAAAAATTAAAAATGAAAGGCCCGAGTTCTGCCTGCATCTTAGCCGGACAAGGGCCATCATGAATAAAGTTTTTTATGTTAAAAATCTGTTCCATTATCCATGCATCACTTTTCAAAGACTTGGTGCGAATCTGGCAACAATTGGCCGACAAAATGTTGACTACAACTGGAAGCTAAGTTCCTAAGGAGCAAATGCGGTATCTGATTCAAACAAAAAAAATTTGTAAAGAACGGGGCTACTTATTCCCAAATAACTCCAGAAGAAAGCAGTAATTCATTACGGGCAATGACTGCACTTGTACATTTAGGCTACATGTCGTAATACAAGCAGCTGCCCAAGCACGTTATAAGATCATGTCAATCACCAACAAACGCATGAATATTCAATTTCTTATATCTCAATACACAAAGATTTAAGGATTAAGATTATTAGCGAATAATTACAGCGGCAATTATTTAGTACAAAGGGATTTCGTGGTACCGTTGTGAAACAGATGGTGAGTAGCAAGCACTAATTGCGCTCAAGCATGCCAGAAAGCAAGAAGTTAAAAACTCCTGTGTCCTTCCTCTATGCCCATAGCAATTCGAGGATCGGAAATGCCTCAGAGAACAATCCTGTTGGATCGTTGTAAGACATGATCAATTGATCTGAGCAAAAGGTGGAATGTGAGTGAACTTCTAAGATCTAAAATTCAAACAATTCTGCCGTTTTCTGGCCTGACAAAAGTGAGGGTGTAACTCAGCACAAGCCGAACGAAACTGCATGCATAAAACATATTGAAGAAAAAATACCATCAGTAGTAGGTCATTTGTATTTATCAAATTGACAGTTTGCCCCTTGGAGTACTTAGATAATTACGACAGAGAGGCCCCTAAATGCAAGGCTAAGAGTAAGTGGGTGAGCCGGGTAAGTCAGGAGCTTTTTACTGATTGCTGACCTACCAAACCATGTCAGGGCTGCACATTGTTTTTTCAAAGTGGTGCCTCGCCTACTGTCCTGCAATTGTCATGACAAGATTGGAAATACTAAAAGCTGCAAGGGGGGCGCGTCAAACGTCGACGCACAGTGGACCTTAGTGCGAGGGCAAGCTCTATTATTATGCATATAGTATAGGCATTTTTGCGTGTACACTTGCATTAATGGGACAATGCAAGTTTTAGTAGGAGATATTTTCTTAAACTGTCTAGACCAGTTGGAAGTGGGGGGAAACTGGAACATCTCTGTTTATCTAAATAAAAGAAATGTACTTTTTGAACCGTCATTGAAGACAGTTTTGAAGAAAAAGGGTCTTTCTCTGTTGGTATCTGCAGATGTCGTTTTGATTAAATCCATATTAAGGGGAATCTAACATCGAGGTTCTCCGATATATCATCAAACTTTTGCTGATTTGTATTGGTGAAGGAAGGAAAATAAAATATATGAAAAATATCGCCTGTCTCTAATTATATCCAATACAATGCGGGGGGCATGACGGGGGGTGCGGGTACGAGCCCCTCCCACTCGAGACCTGTGCCCCACAATTTCTCACCGGAGTGTAAATCTTACCCAATGCTACTGAATGGAAGGGGGGATCTTAAATTACACACGAAACTGCAAAACAATATTTATAGAAGTGATTCAAATCATTTAATTTCTGTACAAACACGTTCGTCAGTTCTCGAACACGGTAAAATTCGTATGACTTTTGTCTATTCCTGAAAACGCGTGTTATTTTGCTATAACGTATGCCAGGTTCAATATTGTTTCCTTTGTTTACATTTTCCGTGTGAAATTCGCCTCTTCATGAAAAATGCAAACGAGTTTGCTTATGAATATGCCCTTTATTGATACATCTACGGAAGACAAATTAACCTCTTTTTAATAATGCAAAATGTGGTATAGTTGAAATTTGCCCCAGGTAGATCATTGTCATTTGGCTGATAACGTTAGATTTGGCAAATAATGATTACAACAAGCTGTTGGCATCGCATAGTCTAGTTGATTTTGCCCCCAAACAGATATTTGAAAAAAAAAGAAGAAAAATCATGATTTTGGGCCGAAGTGTCTCTTTGTTAAAACATTGACGATTTATTACAAAAGTTAATTACTAAATGTGGAAAGAGAGACGCTAAATACACACGGGCAACTACCAAATACACCTCAAAGTAGTTTAACTTCGCTTGTTAAATGATGTTTTTGGATATTGAGATTAAACATACAGGTAAACCCTCAAGTTCACATTACACAGTACTGTAACACAATGATACAACATGATAATAGCCAGGTGATCAAAAGGATGCTAATATCAAACATCAGGAACTGATTGCAGTATGGCAAGCGCATGTAATTCGATACCGTAGTCTGCCTTTTGAGAACTAGCACTGTAGAATATGAAATGTTTTCACAATGCAACCAAATATAATGAAACGCCTTATTTGCCGCTGTTCTCAGAGGAAATTGATATTTCCAATAGCTATGACATACTGCTTTGTCGAATTGACGGTGACGTCATTGCTGCAGCGGTGTCTTGGAGAGGCGATTCATTAGACTGATTGTGTGCGCAATTATTATTGGTATCAGACAGAACCTCGTTACTTGGTAACGGACCACAACACGATGCTCCACTCAGCCTGGCGAGATGAAGTGTTTTTGTCTCCTACTCTCAGGTAATTTCAGTTTTGTTGCTGTTTTATTTTTGTTTGTATCTTGGTGTTCTTGCTTGTTTTTGGTTTTGTTTTGTGTTTGTCTTCATCAAATCTTATAATTGTTGGTATGGCGGGGGTAATGCTTTTCCTATGAACAAAACATTCTAACTTTGCACAATTCTCAATTAAATGGACAATTTTTTTTTGCCCTCGATCGTAGGTTAACAGGTTTTCTCTTGGGCATTTTACCTAGTATAAATATCTGCTCAAATCGAAATAGAAAATTAAAGGAAAAAAATGATCCATCGATGTTGTCATTTAAAAAAATATCACATCAAGGAACATTGGCGAAAGCAGCAAAACATTTTCAGAATTCAAAAAGAACTACAGATTACAGCAGTTGTAGGCAACTCAGAAATATCAAGCTAAGAATTGTCTAATTAGAAGACCCTTGGCTGCTCAACAGATGGTGTCAACATTCAAATAATTCGTCATCATTTTCCCGGGGAGACAAATTTGTTTTCAGATATGTAATATAGATGAAAATATTTTGCACCTAGCAAGCGCCCTGGCAAAACATATACACTGTTACAAATTGCGTTGTCAAATGCGATTTTCTCGAATCCAAGCTTTACTCCCAAGCGAGATTTTTGTCTCTTCATGGGTTAAATCGTTGAAATCTAGTTCAAGAGCAGAATAAGACAATGTGGTAAGGGACAAGTGCTCCTAAAGGTGTTTTATACGAGCACAACACGGGCTCTCTTAACTGAGTTCAACCACATGACATTTGTATATCGTCATAAATTCATTTCAAGACCTGTGAAAACTGCTGAAATTTGCAGTATTTCCATGAATTTCTATTCAAACAGGTTCTTACGGGATGGGCCATGTAGAGTTAAATGTTAATTTTCAACCGTCTTTTAAACAGTAAATTGGATTAAACCCTCTTTTATGCCATTAGATCAACAAAACTTGGCGTTTTCTGTGTAATTTTTCAGTTTTTGCCTTGGCTCTTGCAAAAGTGAATCGAACTTGGTCAATGAGGAGAGCAGTCAAATCTTGGCAAAAATGTGACGTCATAGGACCGACTCGACTTTCCCGACCGGAATGCATAGTTCCGGCAAGAAAGCTGATCGGTCCAAGCAAGCGATTCGCAGTGCACGGTGAAAAAAATTGTCGGAATGGAACACTAACTTTGACAAAGTATACAGGCTAGCCTATACCCATGGACAATAAACTACCCCCAAAATCACTGAAACACACAACAAAACAACCAAACTGGCGAAACAGATAAAATACAAGGAAGGCAATCTAGCTTTTCCGGTAGGCAGAGAGCTCTAAAGACAAATCCTAACCCGACATCAACCTGTGTCGCGTCACCTGGTTTCGAGCATGTTTCACTTTAAAACATGATTTATCAAACATCAGCGAATACAGCTATTGAATAGGCAATAGTAGGTAGGACAATTACCTCTTTTCAGAAAGACACGTTTTTATAATGATGCAGGCAAACTCACTACCAGTCAGTGTTTTTCCAAGGATGGATTTGAGCCGGGGGCGACCGAGCTTGCCATCCTTGGAAATAGTCGTTCGCGGTTCCCGCTGCTACATCTGACTCGAACTAGCCAGCTAACACCGGCAAAGCTCAGTGGTCGAGTGGTTATGCGGTCTGCACTAGTAAGCAGGAGGTCGTTGGTTCGAGTCCCACCCGAGAGCGCTTTTCGGTTTTCTCACAAGCCTTCGGGTCAATCACTGAGTATACAGTGTTGTAATACACGTTGGGCAGGGAAAAATCCTAATTAGTCAGTGTGTTGTCAATCCTCCGGGTCGCCGCCATGCCCGTGGCCAACAGCCCCGAGTTGCAAAATCTCTTTCTGAGTGTATTCTGGTCTCGAACTCATAAGGCAATATTTCTTGTGCCTCATCTGCTCCTTAAAATGAGTAAGACGAACATGACGAATGATCGCTTTCATCACCGGAAAAAGCATCAACGCGGGAATTATCGTAGCTTGATTCTAACATGATGACACACACACTTACGGTACGGCATTACGTACATGTAGATGTCGACTCGTCGTTGCGTAACAGTAAACAGTCACCGGATGAAGCACTCTGACCTATGACGTCAAGATTCTTGGGAATTTCGTCAGAAAACTTTCGGTACGGCTGTTGTTTAGCGTTTGCTCCGAGAAGGGAGTGAAATAGGGTCATGAAAACTATAATTTTTGACATTTTTCCGCGCATTTTGAAATTATGCAGATGTGTTTTCTTGTTTTACGTATATTTGTTTTATGTGTTGATGCATGTTTTACAAGAAATCTTCCCAGCACGGCCCATCCCCTTTAAGCGTGGCCATGAGCCGGGCTGAGTGTTCAGTCCAAACCACAAGGATTCCAGGGTGGCCCTATTCAAGCCTGAAAACAAACCCTGATATCTCTGTATACAGACCTTGCCGCCTACCGTAGCTGTTACTTATCAATTAAAACTGTCTTGACGAGAAAACCATAGCTGTTTAAGAAGCTGGGATACAAAATCAGGGGTGCTAGGCTGGCTGAGGGGTGAGTGGGAGTGCAGAATAAAACTAACAGTGCAAAACTGTCGATCAGATTCTTTGTGTGATCTTATTACATCCCCTGATAAAGTTAAACGACGTCGCTTTCCTATTCCAAGATCTAGCCTTTCCCTCCGTAACATAACTACTGTTCCACACAATGTCATACAGGTGTTTTGATGGCCACAGCGTCGTGCAACATCTGTTACACGACCAGTGAGCCTGATGCAAACGGTCACATGCGCTGGGCGTTGCCGTATCCTAACCCTTGCCAGTGCCACGAGATACGCCCCGGCCATGTCATCGTACGAGAGCCCCAGCTACCGTTCCAGCCCAGGCATCTCAGCTTTCTCGTGATTAGTGGTGACAGGGATGAGATTCGCCGTTCTCTCAATCTTGAAGCACGTGAGTATACCTGCTTCATTTCTTAGGTGTCCAATATTTGTGTTCAGTGTTTGCCTATCATACACACTTCATCCGTTTGGATTTTCATTTTCATTGGTAACACTACAGGCTTTTTAATTCTTTTTTTTTCTGGATAGAAATAATGCTTTACTCATGTACCCAGCTAACACACAACATGCAAATGTCTATGAACCAAAGCATAAATAATATCGTTATTTTCCCGACCTACACATCTTATATAAATAGTTACGATTACGTGAATAAATCCAATTCCATGCAATTTGGTAACGAATATCTCTTTTTCTCCTTCCAAGGGCTGACCAAGATCCAAACCTTTAGGTACCAAATGTCGTTGACTATAAAGGCCACGTTACGTAGTAGTGCGGTCCATTTAATCGCGCGGTATAAGTTGTTTCGCTGCGCGATAAGAGTTCTCACTGCTCAGGGAAGCCTGATTTCCATGTAAAAGTTGTTTGTAATGCAGATGGTCCGCAAAACGTGAAAACGCAGAAACGAACGGAAGAGATGTATATGGCGTCATACACCCAAAACTTAAACAAAAAGGCGTCGAAAATCCGTGATTTGTTACGGAAAGCACTCTTTTAGATTGATTGTGCCGCCTCAAGATGCCAAAGCTGTACTTCAGTTTCATGCATTTCATTGATGGTCAGCTAATACTTGATCATAAGGGTAAAATATTTGAGCATTAAGAAGAAAATTGGCAAACTTCGTGGAACTAAGAGAGAGAGACATCATTGCCCGCCAGTCATGCCAGCATGCGTGTTTGTATGGGGATATCACCGCTATTCAACGCAGGAAGACGGCAAACTAAGCTAAACCTGGCTGAACTTTGCCGATTGTTTGCCGGCTGGTTTGTGTTTGTGTTGTCGGCGACACCTCTGTCTGACATGTTTCTCCTAAGTCCGCGTTGCAGTTTGTGGCTTGTTGCGTATTTTGTGTGTTTCTTACGTCGATGTGAAGTAACTACGCAATATGAGTTGTTTCACTGCTGACTAAGAGTTGTTTCAATGCGCTATAAGAGTTCTTTTACCGATCAATAATAGTTGTTTCACTGTGCGATAAGAGGTGCATGACCGCTCAGTAAGAATCATTTCATTGTGCACTATCGACCTGGCTGGGGTCTTTACAAAGAGCTTTAATTTATCTCTCAAACAACGTAGAGTGCCTTCTTGTTTTAAGGAATCCAAGTAGAAATCTATTCTTTACTTGAAAGATTACAGGCCAGTTGTACTCTCATCGATTTCAGTGACATTTTTGAGAGATTTGTACTGAAGTTTTGAAATCAATTCTTCCGTCTGACTTGGACCATTGTCAGTTTGCTTACAGAACTAATTGCAAGCACTAATTGCACCCC